CCCCTTGCTCTCCTTCTCCAGGCCTCAGTTTGTCTTTCCTCTTCCAGTCCCTCCCCCACTGCCAGCCCCATCCTCTACCCTTACACCCCAGCGCTTACCTTTCCTTAGGAAGTCTGACATGGTTTATCCCCTGGATCTCTTTCAATACCTGCCACCTCCAAAACACATAGTCCAGACTCCCCACCTCTGCCCCCTTGACTGTAGAGGGGCTGCCCCCACACTCAGGCCTGACCTACACAGGCCGACGCCTGCTGCCGCCCTGTTGCCGGAGCCCCGGGACTTGCCCGGTGCTGAGTGAGCAGGGGAGAGGAGGCTTGAGCTTGGAGGTGTGAGGAGTGGGGAGGGCAGACCTTCCTCAGGCACTGGGCTGGCTTCCTCAGGCTCCTCTGTTGGTAGAGCTTTAGGGAAGCCTCTGCCCTCTGTGCTCCCACTGGTCCTGGCTTGGTTTTGGTGGTCCCTTCTGGGGCCTGGAGGCTCAGCAGCTCTTGCGTGGAGTAGGTGCCCTGTAAACATTTGTGAACATTCTGATTGAACCAAAAAGCAAGAGGCAGATGTGGTCAGTGGAAGTGCTCTGGGTCCATGCTCTGCAACCCACGGTAGCTTCCCCAACCTCTCTGAGCCTCAGACTACTCCTTTGCTTGCATATGGGAGAAATATGCAAGCCTGCCAACCTTCTTGGGCAGGTGAAAGGGTCCAGTAAAAGAGGGACAGGCAGAAATGGGGAGGCAGATGCAGAAACTGAAGAGAAGACTTGGAGAGGTGTGTTGTAAAGCTGTTGAATGCAGTGGAGCTGGGCCGGTGGTGGTCACAGGTGGATTTCCAAAAGGAATGAACTGTTGCTCCTTCTGGATCCCTGACCTCTGCATCGCTGACCTCTTGCCTCCCTGTCCCTAGGACCAGGGCACCGTGGGGGTGATCTTTAATGTGGGCACGGACGACATTACTATCGATGAGCCCAACGCCATCGTGAGCGACGGCAAATACCACGTGGTGCGCTTCACTCGAAGTGGCGGCAATGCCACCTTGCAGGTGGACAGCTGGCCAGTCAACGAGCGGTACCCGGCAGGTAGGCGGCGCTGGCGCGCAGAAGAGGTGCTGCGGGAGGGGTGAGGCGGGGAAAACAAGGCGGCCTCTGATAGGAGCACGGGGATGGGGACTGGGATAAGCAGAGAGGCTTCCGGCTGTGAATAGGGCGGAGCTGCGGGAAAGGCATGGCATATAGGGATGGGACCATGTTGGGGTGGGGCCAAAGGGAAAAGTTGGGATTTGTTGGGTGGGGGTGAGACCATGGGAGTAGGTCAGCTAGTGGGGCACGGCTGAGCAGGGCAGGATGCAAGGCCAGGGTCCAGTTTGGGGATGAGGAAGAAGAGAAGAGAAAGAAGGTAGAGGTAGGGAGAGTCTGACGCAGTTGAGGGAAGGGTGAGTTGAGAAAAGAGGGACAGGTGGAAATGGAGAGGCAGCTGCAGAAACCAAAGAGAAGATCCAGAAGTTACCCCAAACGGATCTTGGCAAGGAGGCAGGGCTGTTCCCAAGGACAGAACCATAGCAAGAACCAAGGTCTTTACAAAGAGCAAGTCAAAGATCCATATTAGGTGATCTAGATAAAGGAAGAGAAGTACCTATGGAGACCCAGAGAAAAGAAACCCCGATGTCTCAAGGAGTAAGGGACATGGTATAAGGGAGAGAGTGACAAGTGACAAGTGACAACAAGAGTGAAAAATAGGGTCAAGTGCCTTCAGCAAACCTTCATCAACAATCTACTAGGTCTCAGGTCCTGTGCTGGCCCGGAGGACACAGGACACAGCCTCTGCTCACAGGGAGCTCACAGTCTTGGGGGCAGGGGAGCACAGGGATACAAACAGACCCAGGTCGATAGTGTGGCAGCTGTGGTGGCCGAGGACAAACCAAGGTCTGAAGAGCACAGGGGAGGGATAGGGATGAGGACCTGAAAGAAATGAGGAGGCAGAGACTCTGCAAGAATCTGAAGGAGGCAGAGAAAGAGCCTCAGAGTGAGAAGGAACCAGGAGGAGCAGCGATGGGGAGATATGGAAATAGTCACTGAGACAGAAGCAGAGACGGAGGCAGCTCCAGGAGTGATGCAGGGAGATATATGGAGCCGCTGTCACGCAGCCCCAGCCAGCGAGAGAAGAGGTGGCCAGTGCCTTGTGAGGGAGAGGAAGAGAGCCCAGTGTGGAAGATAAAGAGGGAGGCGAAGTGGAGACACTGCAGGAGAACCGCAGAAACACAGAGATGCGGAGATAGAGGCTGAGTGACACTGCAGAGTCACACGCACACGCACGGGGCCGACTGAGAAGCAGAGAGAGCGTCTGCGGGCGCAGTCCCTCTCCTGGGCAAAGGCAGAGCTGCTGCCTCACACTGGCTGAGAGTGGTGAGAGGGGCATAGGCAGAAGGACAGTGAGCAGTTCAGGTGTGCAAACCCTCACGGGCCCACTTATGCTGGGATAAAGACACCAGTGTGGGCTCACAGCTCATAGTCATGCGGGCTTGTACCCGGACGTTCTCAGGTAGCCCCTGGAGATAAAGAGAACTACACGGCCCCTGATAAACATGGCGGCTGGTGCACATGCAGGTCAACTTTAGACACACAGACAACTGCATATATTCAATGGTCAGACAAACACAAGGAAAAAAAGCCCGGCAGAGGGGCACAAGCTTACACCAAGGCCCGGGCATGTGTGGACTCACTAAGGCACATAAATTAAGGCACGTCAACACTCCCATGCTGAGTCGCACAGATGCGCAGATGCTGACAGGCCAGGCTGTGTGGGTGTGATGGCCCTGTGGACATCAGACTCCTCTCTTTCTCAGACACACACACACACACACACACACACCCCTTTGTAGCAGTGGAGATACCAGCCGATCCTGGACAGGGCTGGCCTTGGGGGCAGGGCATGAAGGCCTTAACATGTCAAGCCAGAGCGCCTCTCCTTGGAGCCCAGCAGGCCAGAGGCCAGGTTGGCCAGGTTGGAGGAGACACACCTGCCCTCCTCTGTTCGGGGACCCCTGGCTGGGGCTGGGGAAAACTGCCCCCTTGCCTGCCAAGCAGAGTAACCTGAGGGCCTGGTGGCTGCCTGTGTGTGCTGTGAGGACAGATACAATACAAAAGCCAAGTGTCCCCCTGAGCAACACCAGGAGGTCAGATTAGCAGCATGTGTGGCCCAGATCTTGGGCCCCAGACTCTTGGAAAGCACAGAGACACAGCCCAGGGACTTCGAGTCAGCAGGACCTAGCTTTTAATCATGAATCTCCTACTGACAAGCTGTGTGATCTTGGACAAGTCATCTAGTGTCTCTGAATCTGTTTCCATCTCTGAAAGGTGGGGATAATACCTCATAGCCATACTGTGAGAATTCCATGAGATTACCTAAAGAAAGTGCTAGAACGGCATGGTGTAAGAGAGGCACTCAGTAAATGGAACTTTCGCAATATGTGAGTGAGACAGACATGCATTCTTTCCTCCCTCTCAGGACACACACGCAGACAAACATATGGACACACAGAGACTCTCACACACACACAACTGTCCCAGTGCAGGTCGGTCCCTGAATGCCTCCTGCCCTCCTGCCTCCCTGCCGCTGCCTGTGTGCTCCCTCTCCCTCCCTCCCCAGCGTGGCTCCCATCTGGCTACTACACTTCTCCTCCAGTGTCTTCTGGGGCTCCTCCCAGCCCTGTCCCCAGGGTAGGATGCCCCGTGCTACCTCTCACAGAACACAGAACACTGCTGGTCACTTGCCAGTCTCCCCTGCTTGGCTGGGGTTCCCCATGGACAAGGACCAGACCTTCATCTTTGCATCTCCAGTACCCAGCACCAGGAACAGAGCAGACTCTCCAGAAATGTTCATTGAGTGACAAAATGAATGAACGATCCGCTCTGATCTGAAACACAAGTGATCTGAATCCATGGTATCTGTGGGAAGGCAGAGTCTCATTGCCTCACAAGCACCTAGGGAAGCCCTGCTATGCTTATGTGAATACACGGTGTGCTTTTACACAGGAGGTGTACCAGTCAGGCCCAGGTCCAGGTCTCGCTGGCAGGTGAGCACAGCTGTGCAGTGGGCGATGAGAGGGAAAGCGCCCCTGGCATGTATGTTATTGAACAGTGAGTAAGTGGTTTCAATGGGTAGAGTGGCCAGATTCCCAAAGGAAACCATTTTCAGGTCCATGTTTGGGATCACTCACAGCCCACGGATTTGGGGAGGAGCTCTCATGGAACACACAGACACTGACAGACAGATACATACACACACATTGTCCCCCGCCCTGTTTCCAGGGCCTGGAGAGTGGTGAGGGGAGAGAAGAGCAGGTGTGTGTCCAGGTGGGCCCTGGGATTGAAAAGAGGGTGGAGGTTAGAAATGGTGGGGGAGGAGCCTTAGGGAGAAAGACCTGTGAGTGAGGCGTCAGGAGCTGGGCTGGGTCCCCAGGGCAGGAAGGAGGGAGGACCTCAGCGGAGAGGTGAGGGAGGGTCTTGGAATTGAACTGGGAGTTGGGAAGAGAGAAAGGTGCCCCCAGGCAGAGGAGGGGAGGGCGTGCCTGGAGGAGGGTGGTGGAAGAGGAGGTGAGATGCAAGGGGTGGGTGGGGCAGCTGGGCAACTATCCAGGCGCAGGTGACCAGGGTGAGAAGGCTGGAAGTGCCTACAGTGACAGCAGTGGGGGGCTTGGTGCGGGCGGGGTCGGGGGGGGGGACGGAGTCAGGTGGAAGCTGGTGGTGGGGTGTGGTGTGGAGTGGGAGGTGGGGAGGTGAGGGGAAGCTGGGAGTTGAGCACGGATGGTAAAGGGAGCCGAGGTGGCTTCGAGAAGTGGTTTAAATCTCACTGTTAAATACGTGTGTCGGGCCACCCCCTAAATGCCGCATAAACCCCCGCTTAACCCGCCCCTCCCACTTCTAAACCGCCCTCTAAACGCAGTAACCAGCTGGGCCACTGAGGCCTCCCACCCCCTAACTTAAACCTGCTAAATACCCCTCCCCACCCCTCTGCCCCACTCTGGGATGGGGAAGGAAGGGGGCAGACAGCTGAGCACAGATAAACCTGTTTAACCTCTGACCTTTGACCTTCCAGCTGCCTTTTCTTTCATTCCCTTTTCCTTTTCTTCTTTGTCCCTCTCTTTTCCTTTGGGTCACTCCTGCCCCCCGGGTGGGGCTGGCTCTGGATGGGAGCCTAGGGAGGGGGACTGGAGGGAGGACGAGGGACCAGCGTTTCTTCTCCCGCCTTGGGTGGACCTGCCCCCCTCTCCGTTGGATGTTGCTGCTTACTCTGAGTCTCCTGAGAAATGCATAATTACTTTTCTAACTCCTTTGGACTTCGCCGCCTGAGAAACCTACTGTCTTTCTAAACTTTTCCAAGGAAACTTTGATAACGAGCGCCTGGCGATTGCTAGACAGAGAATCCCCTACCGGCTTGGTCGAGTAGTAGATGAGTGGCTGCTCGACAAAGGTAATTAATCAGAATTAATTAATTAATTAATTAATTAACTTTAAAAACACTATCTTAAAGGTGCAGAGCTCTCTCTTTCCCCATCCGTGCCTTCCCCATCGCCCACCCCCTAGTGAAAGGACGATTGTCCGGCCAGGATGCTCCCTTCCTGCCTGTAGTCAGGGTCTGTGTCTTGTGGAGCGATGGTTTGGGGCAGGGGCGGGGCTTTTCCTAGGAGAGGGAGAGTCCTGGGTCTCTTTCTAAACGTGGATGATAGGTGAGATTCCCAAACCCTTCCGCTAAAGGAGGCTGGAGTGCAGATTGGGAGGGAGCCGCCCTGTTAGCTCAGAGGTTTTGTCAAGGGCCAGCTGTGGGCCAGAGCACTGAGAAGCCAGAAGCCAGAAGGCTTTGGAAAGAGCTAGTGCTGATCCTCAGATCCAAAGGAGGGGTAGGAAAGCTTCCCCCAGGTCATCTAAGGAGAAAGGAAAGAGTGGGGGCCTCAGATCCTACTGGAAAAACCCACCCCTCCCAAGAGAGTGGCTGTGGGGCCGCCGTCTCTGGAATAGGCCCACCTTGGTCCAGAAGGCCTCTTAGAATTAGTGGAAGTTGAAGAGAGACTACGAGATAGGGAAGAGGTGGCCGTCCCTCAGGGATTTCTGTGCCTGTTGAGCTGATGAGGAAGACAGGACAGGCTTGCTAAGAGGCTACATATGGTGAGGTGCTGCTGGGTGTGAGGGAGAAGGCCACTTGTCACCAAGGGAAGTTGGGGCCAAGGGCAAAGCCATCCCATTCCCTTTGGAGAGGGGGCGAGCTCTGTACCTCTAAGGCTAAACTCTAGGGGGGAAGTAGAACTGTTAAACCTCCACTTAACCAGCTGATAACTGTGCTTTTAAATGTCCACTGGGGCCTGCCCCAACTAAAACCCCCAATGCCACTTCCAGCTGCCCACACAGCCAGGGGGGACTAAACATGCTGATAACCAGATGTGATAAATCCATAACAGGACAAAAAGTTAAAGGGACTGTAACAGATATCGCTAAAACCTACAGCCCCCAGCCACAGTGGGCTGCTCTCTCCAGCGGGGCGAACTTTAACCCTTTGAGGAGTTCATAGTGGGTGGGGCCGCAGGGGCCAAATTTGCTCACCTACGTAGCTTCCTCTCCATTACCCACCTCCCTCTCCCAGAATCAGTGAGGCCAAGGGAGCAGCTTGGGCTGAGGCCAGGACAACTTGTGACCCCAAGGGTAGGGAAAACTAGACAGACCCTGGAGGGAGGGCGGGACTTGCACCCAGATGAGGGAGGCGCTCGGGCTGGTGATTTGGAGCCCCAGCTGTCCTTTATGAGCTGCATGGTCACACCTTCTCTTTAGGCCTCTAGTTCCTCTTCTAGAAAGTGAAGACTTGGGCCACACACTCAAGTATTTCCCTGAGTGAACAGAGGAGCTCACTTGTCATGTGGCCTTGGTCAAGGCTTCCCCTTCCTGAGCCTCAGTTCCCTCCTCCAGAAGACAGGAATGGTGATCTCTGCTCAGCCTGCCTCACACGGGGTGCTGGGGGCACGAGGTGTAGTAAGGAGCAGGGAAGTATTTGAGAACAAAAGCTGAGCATTCTTGGAGGGACTATCGTATGTCAGCACCTGGCATATAGTAGGTTCTCAGTAAATATTTTTTGAATGAATTCAAAACATAAGCATAAGTCCCACGAGATGTTTCACGGTAAAGAGATCTGTGGTACAATGAGCTAGGGCAATGCTGAATCCTGTTTCTTCCTCTTGGAGATGCATATGGACATTGGTATAATACAGGCTCTGAGAAGTCCTGCAAGGAAGAAACCTCTTGTTTAATCGTGAAATGTTTGTTTTTGAAAGTCATTTGACCTCTGTGAACCTTCTCCCTGTGCTTTTCTTGTAATTCTCATACATGGGAATAAACTCTGGACACAGCGGTCCTCAAGGGCCTCTCTGGGCCTGGTGTCCAGCTGCCACTCACTAGTTTCCTGTAAGATGGTGACCCTGCTCTAGGGGTGAGTGAGGTGCTGGGCAGTGGGGAGGTGCCAGAGAGGCTGAGCAGAGGGTCCAAGCAAACACCCCCATGGCTGGTCATTAGCCAGAAGCCAGATGTATGGTTGGGTGTCCCAGAGGCCTAAATGTCCCAGGGAACCCATGTTTCCAAAGTGGGTGTGGGTTTTACAAGTTGGACTGTCCTCAGCCCAGGTTTTGGGTGCAGGGCTTACAGACACCTAACTCTAAACCAGATCTTTAACGAGGCACTAACCAGAGGCTAACGAGGGCTAAGCCAGGTCTTAAAACCCCCAGCGCCAGCAGCTGAAGGTCCAGGGGAGCAGGGTGCAACTTAGTAGATCCTCTGCCCCACTCCCCCACAAAAAATAAGCAACATCAAAATCAAAGTTAAATCTAAACTTAAACATAATAAATATCTTTTCTAAAAACCAAACCAAAGCAACAAACTCAGAGGGTTAAACCGAACCCCAGATCCACTAAAACCAAACAGAATAGCCAAACCCCACCCAGGTGGGCATTCTGAGGTGTAACTGTTGAGTGAAGAGCGAGGTTGGAGCTGGAGTGGTTTTTTTTGGCTGTCAGCGAACGAAGCAATGTCCCTTTAACATTTTCCATCTCTGTGCTTGCACATCCTGGCGGGGAGGAAGGACTCTGCTCTCCAGGGCCTGATCCCCAGGCAGTGGCTGGGCCTTGGAGGGGAGGAGGCGGGGTGAGGTTTGTTCTGGCCAGAAATCAGAGGGCCTGGTGGTGGCTGGGAGGGCAGAGTGAGGTCGGTGTGGCTGCTCCCAGCCTCACGCACACTGGTCCACCTCCCACACACTATCCACCCCTCGGTCTCACCTCCATCCCTGCCCTGACGTGCACTGACCACGCGGCCTGGCAGTCACCTCCTCTGTGTCTGCCTCTTTGTCTCCTCTGTCCACTGCTTCCGAGGGCTCCATGGCTCGGGGCTGGACACTGGGTGTGGGAAGTTTGGGGGAACAGAGAGGGAAGATGGGGATCAAATTGAAGGAAGGGAAAGAAGGGGGTAATGCCCCTGGAGCAGGAGAGGAGGGGGGGTGGGAAGGCCAGAGGCATGAGCATGGTGGGGAGAGGGGGGAGCTGGGCCCCCTTTCCCAGCCCATGCATGCCCTGGGGACCCTCCCTCTCCAGGGTCCCCACCTGGCTTGGCTGGGCTAGTGGCTGACAAGGACTTTCCCTTTGGTGTCTGCCCCTTCCTCGTTTCTTCCTCTCCCCGCCACCCCGCACTTACTGGTATCCACCTCGACCCCTCTTTCCTGCCCTTGGCTCCACTCTATTCTCCCCATCCCTTTGTGGTCTCCCCCTGTTGTCTTTCCCCCTCTGCCCACCCCTTCCCCTCCCCTACCAGGCCGCCAGCTGACCATCTTCAACAGCCAGGCTGCCATCAAGATCGGAGGCCGGGATCAGGGCCGCCCCTTCCAGGGCCAGGTGTCCGGCCTCTACTACAATGGGCTCAAGGTGCTGGCGCTGGCCGCCGAGAGCGACCCCAATGTGCGGACTGAGGGTCACCTGCGCTTGGTGGGGGAGGGGCCGTCCGTGCTGCTCAGTGCGGAGACCACAGCCACCACCCTGCTGGCCGACATGGCCACCACCATCATGGAGACCACCACCACCATGGCCACTACCACCACGCGCCGGGGCCGCTCCCCCACACTGAGGGACAGCACCACCCAGGTGAGGGCCCCTCCAGTGAACAGACAAGGGATGGGGCTTCGGGTGAGGGGTAGGGCTGGTGTCTGCATAGCAACTGTGGTGCCCAGGGAAGGCCTGAAGGGACGATGGTTCAGGTGGGGCCGGCAAGATCTCCTGTTGTGACGTGGTTTCCACCCTGGTGACCAGGGATGTTGTAGATGTGGAGGTGACCACTATTTCTAGGAGGACCAATCCTAGAGTTGAGGGGGAGTTTGGTACCCTAGCTAGACCAGGGAAGACCTATGAAGGAGGAACTCTGGGTTAGAGGTGAGTGTGGAATGATCCCTTCTGCCTGCCCCATAATGAAGGCCATGCCCAGTGTTATGTGGGCATCGAGCGGGAGATGGAGGGACCCAGGATGGCATCGCTCCAGGCAGGGAACAGAGGTGACAGTGATGGAGGGGCTAGAGGCTCATCTGGCAGTGGCAGGCCCTCTCTGGACGCAGGTGGAAGCCAGGAGCAGCCTCTCCCCGATTGCTGGAGTCCTTGCAGTGGGACTGCCAGCCCGTTGCCTTCACAAATCTTCTCTGTGTGACCTTGAGAGGCACCACCATGTAGCAGGCCTCAGTATCCTCTGTGCCGTGGGTCAGAGTCAGCATTGGCGCAGACAGTTCCCTGGTGCGATACCCTCGCTCCCCACCCTCTGCCCTACCTGCTCAGATGCTCTCCCTGGGTCGGGTTTGAGTTTATCTTCTCTTGTACCAAGGGGAGCACCCAAGGGGGCCGTACCTGAGAATGAGGCTCTGCTGGGGCAGGACAGGCCTGGCTTTCCTGGTGGCCAAAGCTGATTGAGCATATGGGACTTACAGAGGCAGCCTGGGGGCCCAGCTGATTTCTAGTTGTTACTGCCAGTCACTGTTGGCCTGGGGGCTCACACCTGGCACATTGGACCTTACTTAGTCACCTGGTTTCCTCTGCCCCAGCTACTTCTGTCCCGTGTCAATGGCTGTGGGCCTCTAGGCCTGGAGGGACCTCTGTCCTCCCAGAGTGAGAGGGGTCTGGGGGCGTCCATGGGGACATGCCCTTCCTCTACCACCAGCTTGCCTGCAGCCCCTGTGTGTGAGCTCCAAGTCCTCTCATCCCTGCCAGTCTGGGCTGTGGGGGGCCTGGGACCGGCCGACAGACTCATCCAGGCAAGAGAGACAAGCCTGAAGCCCCTTCCATCTGCCTTCACTGCCAAGAAAACCAAGGGAACCTGAATGCCAGGCCTTGCCCCGGGGAGCGGGGAGCCCTAGGAGAAAGGCCTGGCTCTACCCAAGATTGGGCACCGGCCATGCCCAGTGCCTGATGGCAGGAAGGGCCATCCAGTCTCAGTGGGAGGTGATGGGCAGATCATCCAGGTGGGAGAGGTGGGGCTGTAGGGGTCACAGCTGTGCTGGAGGAGCCTCTGCAGGGGAAGCTGGCACGGAGAGGGCAGAGATGCAGAAGGAAAATCAGTCTTCCAGGTCCCGCCTCGCCCTTGGGTAAGGGCTGCAGTGTCTGAGGGTCAGGGGGTGGGGAAGAGGCAGGATGTGACTCTTTCACCCCTTATCCACCCCAGACTCCTCCCATCCTTAGCCTTTAGCCTGGCCCTCTCACCCGACCCTGAAGTCTCTCAGACTCCCTTCCTGCCTGGATTCTGGGTTTCCCTCCTTGAGTTTCTTCCCTACCACCTCCTGAGCAGTTCCCCCCCTCCACCGCCACCCCTTACATTCACTCATCTTGGGGATTCTCTTTCTTTGCAATCAGGAGGAGAGAAAATGCTGACAAAGTCGACTCCCGTTGTCATGGCAACCATAGCCTTAATTATTGTGTGCAGCCCAGTTCCCGGGCTCTAGGAAGGGGGTTGGGAGAGAGATGAGGGAGGTGGGGGGGGGTGAGGCTGAAGCCAAGAATCCCCGGCCACACCCCCGGTCTTGTTCCCCTTCTCTGTCCGTGCTGGCCTCCAGAGGCCCTTGTGCCTTATCTCCTGGACACCCCTGGGCCCCCCTTGTTCCAGCTGTAAAGCCCCAGTTCTGCCGTCCAGTCTCCCTGGCTTCCCAGAAATAAAAAGCACAGCGTGTGCTGTTCCACTGATCCCCAGGAGCGAGGGAGCTGCTGCAGGGGAGGCATGTTGAGTCTCCCTGTGCACGGGGGAGATGGAGGCCCACGGCCATCCAGCAAGCGGTGAGAGAACTCATCCCCTGTGCTGCCCCACACCTCAAGAAGTGGCTGTGGGGACTGCTGACCCACCCTGGAACCCTCTTCTTCCCCCTGCCACCCTCCTCTCACCCCTAGAACACAGATGACCTCCTGGTGGCCTCGGCCGAGTGTCCGAGCGATGACGAGGACCTGGAGGAGTGTGAGCCTAGTACTGGTGAGTGCCTTTCCCCCCTCCCCTGCCCCGGGCCCACTGCGACGCTGATGGGAGGGGGGCGACTGTCCTTACCACCTGGCTCAAGCCCAAGGGGCCAGGCCCTAACTTTCCCTGATAGCTTCCTCTCCCATCCTACCATTGCCCTCAGGTCCCACAAATGCCCTCTGGAGAGGCAGTTTCTAGCCTCTTGATGCCCTGGCCCTGGGAGGTAGTGAGGTGTCCTTAGCTTGGGGTCCTGGGGTTGAGAGACAAGGGATGCCTGGAGGGAAAGAGGGAGACTTTCCCTAGACAGATGAGTAGCTGCAGCTCCCATGAGTCCTTATGGGGTTGGGTGGGAATGGGGTATGCAGGCCTAGGAACTACAATTCCCATCAGCTCTTGGGTCCAGAACTGCAACTCTCATCAGTCCCTGAGGCGTGGTGTTCTTTTGGTCACAATTAGAGGAGATCTCTGCTAGATCCTGAACCTTCCTCATTCCCAGTCTCAGGGAGGTGACCAGACATGCTGCTGGGGCTGCCAGGCCAAGCTGGGGCAGTTACTTTTACTCTCCGTCGGGCAGCGTGCTGCGTGGGAGGTGCCCCAGCCAGACATGAGTTCCCCTAGGGAGACTGGGACCTGGGGTCTGACCCAGATTTCTGGTGGGGGAGCTGCTGTAGAAGGAGAGCAGAGCTGGGAAGGAAGGCTTCCCAGGGGTGGCATCCCAAGCCTCTGCTTGATCCTTGCAGCTGCAGAGAAGGGTGTAGCCCCAGAGAGCGAGAGGGCAACTGGCAAAGCAGGGGCGGGCCTTGGGTGCCGACCGACAAGTGTGGGGTGTGGAGCGGCACAGTGGGTGCATCTGAGCAGGTTGAGGGTGGCAGGGAGGGGCTGAGGGGAGAGGGCCTAAGGAGAAAGATCCTGGTGCTTGATACTGGCAGCGGGAATGGAGGAAGACTGAATGCAGCCCGATTTCCCAGCGGGGGTGCGTGGGCCTTGGTGGTGGCTTGGATGAGCCCATGGGAGCCTCAGCCCTTGCTTGGGTTTCCAGAGACTTCTCCCCATTACTTTGCAATGTGTGGCACCTGGGCTGTTGGTCCTGGAAGGTAAGAGGCTGGGACAGGTGCCTGCTAGGACAGGCACCTGCAGGGTCAGGGGAGGTGATGGGGTTAGCTGAGGGGTGACCTTAGCATATCCTGTGAATCTGACCTGGGGGGACCCTGGGGGCCTGCCAACCCCAGAAGAGACACTCATGAGGGCGGGCTGCACCCATGGAAGGAGTGTTGGTGGAGGAAGAAGACTGTGGAGCCTTGGGGCCGAGGCTCAGGTTCCAGAGACAAAGGACAGAGGGATTTCTAGGATGGAAACTCTAAAGGCTCTCGTGTCCCCCGAGTAGGCCAGAGCTGAGGGGGGTTGTTCTGGTGGTCTCAGGCCCTGAGGTTCTTGGAGGAGCCTTAGGCTGCTGGGCTGGAAAGTCCTCCTCATCCAAAGCGAAAGACCAGTGCTCTCTGGACAGATGCCCTCCACTGTGGGGAGGCCCCTCTGCTGAGGGCCGTCCCCTCCATCTCACTGGGTGATCTCAGCTCAAGGATGTGCCTTCACACCCCGCCTTGCTTTGGGAGAGTCTGAGCTTCTGGCAGCTTCGATGCAGCACTCCCATTCAACCCTGCTTTATTCACCCCTCTTACAAGTCACTTACGGGGATTTCTGTAGGTGGACACTACCTCAAGGCTAGGCCTGCAGGGAGTGGCTGTGTTGAATGGCCCCAGGAGAGCCCTGGGATGGGACCCTGGGGACAAAAAGGTGTGTAGTTGTGAGAAAAGGGTACCCCTTGGCCCCACCACCTGTGTTTGCACACTTGGGCATGGGAACTGCCAGGGTGAGAGGAGGAATCTCTGCTCTCCCTGGACCACGCCAAGAGGAGTGTGGGGCCAGATGGCCATTCTGCAGGGACATGCCACACACACTGGGCCACCCCAGGGCCACACATTGTCCACCAGGTTCTAGCCTCCCAGCACCAACCCGGAGTCTTGCCAGGGGCCTGGGTGTGACGCTGAGTGTGTGCCCAGGTGGGCTGAGCTCTTTTAGGCTGTGTTGGGACCAGGGAGTGAAGGGGAGCTGAAGTAGGTGGGTCAGCTGCCCTCGCCCCATCAAAGGGCCAAGTATGTGAGGGGGGAGGGGGGAGGGCAGAGGAATAGAAGCAGGGGGATCGGGAGAGGCTGGTGGGCTAGCCCAGCACTCAGCTTTAAAACTAAGAGGGAGGGAGGGCAGAATGCGTGCTTGAGTCCCCAGAGGAAACCGTCAGACCCGCGGGCCCTCCCCCTGATGTGCTTCGCTCATGTTTGTACTTTCACACCCACGCTGCTCTGAAATGCCTAAATGGGATTTTTATCTTGATGGGAGCCCAGACACGGACCAAGATGACTCTATAGTCCCTCAGACTGATCTAGACCCTGACCCCCCTCCTACCTGGAGTGGAAGGAGACTCAGGCCAGAGTCCCTCTTGTGCCCCCAGCGCAGGAAGACTTTTTGTCTAGCAGAACACCAGGCCTCCTTTGGCTCCAAGGTCAGAGTTAGAGGTGGAGGCAGCTTGGCTGGAGACAGTGGCTACCCAGGGCCTGACCCCAGGGCGTTTGCACCCTCCCCCCTGCCAGTCCTCCGCCCTGGGTCCAGGTGTGAAGCCTCGGATCATCCCTGAAACATTTCACACCTTCCCTTGACTTGGCCCCTTGGCAGACCTCAGGCCTCTCTTCCCTCCCCCAGCTTGGTGAGGCTACCATTGAACACAGTTATTTAACCCGAGGTTGGCAACCCAGTCAAAGAAGGGTACTGTGTTGTTGGACACAGGGTTTAAATTCTTTTGAATGGGAGTGTCTTTAGGGGGACGTGTCCTGCAGGTCACAGTGTGGCCCACCACCCCTCACTGTCTTGGCTGGCCTGACCCACACCGTGTGTTACAGGCCTGGCCCTGCAGGGATCTGAGTTTGTACCCCTGAGACACATAGGAAGTACACACACAGACTCAGACCTACAGAGGGATGCAGCTCCACAGCACACATGCTAGACCAGAGGCACACACACGTCCATGCACACATAATAATGGACCTACCAGCAAGCTCACACATGTCCACTTTCACAGGTGCACATATGTTCAAATCTAGAAAGTCACACGCCATTTGTCCCCAGACCAAAAGAGGCACACGCGTGCTTAGGTCTAAAGAGCCATGCACGTATTGGGAGCCCCAGAAGTTCGACTCACACAGACAAACTACACATGAACACAGTCTCACAGAGGCACACGTGTGCTCAGAGCCACGGTCCTGCGTGTGTGTGCTTTGAGCTCCACATCTAGACTTGGACTCACAGGTGCCTATATGCTCAGACCCACAGCCGTTCACACCTACACACGTGCTCAGCTGCACACGCAGCAAGTCTTAAACCTTCCAAGGCACTCGCGTGTGCTCAGAGCTGCACATCCATGCCCATGCAAACCCACTGAAGCACGCTTGCACACACGCACACATCTATCGAGGTTTAGACTAGAAGTTCAAAATCACATGCCCATGCTCAGAATCACTCACCTATTTCAGACACGGAAGAAACATGTATGTTCAGGCCTGAGCACCTACACACACGTGCTCAGACCCATCAAGGCCCATGTGTGTGTGTGTGTGTCCTCAGACACAGAATTCCACAGCCATGCTCAGCTCAGAGTCACACACGTGCACAAATCCACCTGCATCACACACACTCACACATGTGCTCAGGCCACAGATTCCTACACGTGTGCTCAGACTTACAGACGCTCATGGATGTTTCAGAATCACAGGTGCGTTTGTGCATGTTCAGAACAGGCACATACACGATATGTGCAGATTACACACATGCGCTCATGAGTTGAAGGATGTGCACATCTGTGCCCAGGCTCACAGAGGTGCACGTGTGTCACAGCTCCGCTTCAGACTTACGGCCATCTGCACATCTGTTCACATTCACTAAGCCCCTCGGAGGCCCACCTCAGCTCGGACTTTCCAAGGCTCATTGCAACGTGCATGCCCTTGAGCTCAGACGCATGCACATATGCTCAGACCCCTCAAGGCCTGCACACTTGTATGCAGTGCCACGGTGGTATACATTTACACACACACCACAGAGTCAGGTCAACACTGGCCCGCACGAGTGCTCACAGCCGCTAGCGCACTTACACACTCAGAGGTATACATGCAGCTACACATAGAAGGACACCCACATGTCAGTGGACCCTCAGGCCAATCACATGTTTTGACATGGTAAAATGCATGCCTCCGTGATCACCAGGTGAGCACACAGAACCACCAGGACCCACATACACGTGTACTTGGATTCACATAAGCACGAATGTTCTCAGACCCAGAGAAGTGACCTCGTGCCCGTTGCACACATGTGGGTCCCCCCTGCATCCGTGCCCCAGTGCGCACACACTCAGGGCCCTCAGAGGCCTACACACGCTTAATTCCACAGACACAGGCACATTTACTCAGACCCACGCATCTAGCTCAGAAATACAGCGGCACAAGCGTGTTCAGATTTTAGCATATCTTAAGGTAACACTAGTAACCTGGGGTGGTAACTCTCAACGCCTGCATTTTAACACTCAGAAATTGTTTTCTCCATATAAAGTTATAAACAGCGTTCCTGATTGGTAAGCAGCTCTCCCCCGAGCGCTGATTCGGGGCCGGTCTCCGTCCACGTTCTCCGTGACTTCCCGAGTTGTGGGGGAAGGGAATGAGCCGGGAGGGGCTCACAGGGGAGGGTTTATGGGCCAGGACTGGGAGGGAGAGGTGCACACGGCCCCTGCTGACTCTGCCCTCCGGAGCGCAGTCACTTGGCACGACCTAGCTTCCAGGCAGGCCGGGAAGCGTGGCCTTGCCCTGCCCTGCCCACAGGAGGAAGCAAAAATGGATTTGATGACCAGCAAGCCATTTATTTGCCACAGTCTGGCCTTTGGGTCACCAACAATCCATTCCACTCTTCCTCCCAGCCACAGA